TTTTTTTTTTTTTGGTGTTAATGGCATTATTTAATCTGCACTAAGAGATTTTGGAAGCCCTTGAGGACTTTCTGCACCAAGGAAAAAAAAAAATCAAATATTGAATATTGAAATATTTCTTTGTTTTTTTCATATCAAAAATTTTCTCCCCACTCAGGGGGAATATTCTCCAAGCTGGGGTAAAAATAAAACCCCGTTATTTTGAACCTCTTCTCCTCTGTGTATTTTGGATTTTTTTTTTCCTCTTGGGGAAAAAAAAAATAAAAAAAAAAATAAAAAAAAAAGGAGAATCAAAACCTCCCTGTGCCTCCCAAACAGCCATAAAGGATTAAAAATGGAGGGTGCTAATTAAAATGAAGGATGCTAATTAAATGGAAGGATGTTAATCAAAGCAGAGGGTGATTATGTTTTTAAGAAAAACACGAAGTGAACAAACCTGAAATTCCTGATTTGAGGTGAAAGTCCAGTCCTGGAATCCTGGGTTGGTTTGGGTTGGAACTCAAAACTCATCCAGTTCCCCCCCCTTTAAAATTTTATTTCCACCTTTTATTATTCCAGGTAATTTGGTGATGTCACCAAATCTCCTCAAAATATTTGGCTTTAATTTTTTTTTTCTTTTTTTTTTTTTTTGGTTTTTTTTTGGTTTTTTTTTTTTGACAATTTCCCCCTTTCTGTAGAGGTGACGAATTCTCTGTGTGAAATTTGGGGCGCCACGATATCCAAAAAAAAAAAAAAAAAAAGTCAGAAAGTGCAGGAGAAGGGTCCAAAAAAATAAATAAATAAAAAAAAAAGTCAGAAAGTGCAGGAGAAGGGTCCAAAAAAAATAAAAAATAAAAAAAAACCCCCAAGGGGATGGGGGAAGGTGTGGAGGAGGGGCTGAGGGCTCCGGGGCTGCTCAGCCAGGGTGGGACATCAGGGAAAGGTTCTACCCCAGAGGATTTGGGCACTGCCCAGAGGATTCAGGCACTGCCCCAGGGATCCCCAGAGGATTTGGGCACTGCCCAGGGATCCCCAGAGGATTCAGGCACTGCCCAGGGATGCCCAGGGAATTCAGGCACTGCCCCAGGGAATGCCCAGAGGATTTGGGCACTGCCCAGGGATGCCCAGGGAATTCAGGCACTGCCCCAGGGAATGCCCAGAGGATTCAGGCACTGCCCAGGGATGCCCAGAGGATTTGGGCACTGCCCCAGGGAATGCCCAGAGGATTTGGGCACTGCCCAGGGAATTCAGGCACTGCCCAGGGAATGCCCAGAGGATTCAGGCACTGCCCAGGGAATGCCCAGAGGATTTGGGCACTGCCCCAGGGGATGCCCAGAGGATTTGGGCACTGCCCCAGGGATGCCCAGAGGATTCAGGCACTGCCCAGGGGATGCCCAGAGGATTTGGGCACTGCCCCAGGGATGCCCAGAGGATTTGGGCACTGCCCCAGAGGATTTGGGCACTGCCCCAGGGAATGCCCAGAGGATTTGGGCACAGCCCAGGGAATGCCCAGAGGATTTGGGCACTGCCCAGGGATGCCCAGAGGATTTGGGCACTGCCCAGGGAATTCAGGCACTGCCCAGGGAATGCCCAGAGGATTTGGGCACTGCCCAGGGAATTTGAGCTGCAGGAGAATTTGGACAGAGCTGCCAGGGGTGCCCAGAGTTGGATTTTTGGGGACTGGATGATCCTGGTGGGTCCCTTCCAGCTCAGGACACGATTCCAGGTGAGGATGAGAATCCAACCCCGTACCTGGGCAAGCTGAGCAGCTCAGAGACTCAGACCTCATTTCACCTCTGCAACTTTTTTTTTTTATTATTTATTTTTATTTTATTTTATTTTTTTTTTTTCTTTCAATGCCAATTCTGAAGCGTTTTGAAAATCACAAAGCTGTTTCCTACAAACACACGATTTCTACCCAGGGAAAGGGTGACCCCCAACGGTGCCATTAACTCTGGTTTAATTCTGCAGGTATATAACAGAGTTTGTAAACCTAGGCAATGTTTCAGCTCTGCGCACTTTCAGGGTTCTGAGAGCTTTGAAAACTATTTCTGTAATTCCAGGTAAGGCCCCGGTTGGTGTTTAGCTGTCGGGTACAGGCCCCTGTGAGTGATGTTTTTGCTTTGTCCCTAGTTGTTGTTTTATTTTGGTGTGTGTATTGTCATGGTGTTTTGTTTTTTTTTTTTTTTCTTTTTTTTTGTGTGTGACCTCCCTCATTGCAGATATGTCACAGAGTTTGTGGACCTTGGGAATGTCTCAGCATTGAGAACTTTCAGAGTTCTCCGAGCTTTGAAAACTATCTCTGTAATTCCAGGTGAGAATCGTTCAGCATTAAAGGCTGGCCTCGTGTGTGTTTTTTGTTTCCCCTCCCTTCCTGCACTGCTCATTCCTCAGAAATTACACTGGGATTTATTTNGGCACTGCCCAGGGAATTTGAGCTGCAGGAGAATTTGGACAGAGCTGCCAGGGGTGCCCAGAGTTGGATTTTTGGGGACTGGATGATCCTGGTGGGTCCCTTCCAGCTCAGGACACGATTCCAGGTGAGGATGAGAATCCAACCCCGTACCTGGGCAAGCTGAGCAGCTCAGAGACTCAGACCTCATTTCACCTCTGCAACTTTTTTTTTTTATTATTTATTTTTATTTTATTTTATTTTTTTTTTTTCTTTCAATGCCAATTCTGAAGCGTTTTGAAAATCACAAAGCTGTTTCCTACAAACACACGATTTCTACCCAGGGAAAGGGTGACCCCCAACGGTGCCATTAACTCTGGTTTAATTCTGCAGGTATATAACAGAGTTTGTAAACCTAGGCAATGTTTCAGCTCTGCGCACTTTCAGGGTTCTGAGAGCTTTGAAAACTATTTCTGTAATTCCAGGTAAGGCCCCGGTTGGTGTTTAGCTGTCGGGTACAGGCCCCTGTGAGTGATGTTTTTGCTTTGTCCCTAGTTGTTGTTTTATTTTGGTGTGTGTATTGTCATGGTGTTTTGTTTTTTTTTTTTTTTCTTTTTTTTTGTGTGTGACCTCCCTCATTGCAGATATGTCACAGAGTTTGTGGACCTTGGGAATGTCTCAGCATTGAGAACTTTCAGAGTTCTCCGAGCTTTGAAAACTATCTCTGTAATTCCAGGTGAGAATCGTTCAGCATTAAAGGCTGGCCTCGTGTGTGTTTTTTGTTTCCCCTCCCTTCCTGCACTGCTCATTCCTCAGAAATTACACTGGGATTTATTTTTTTTTAATTTTTTTTTTTTTGGATGGGATTTGCAGTCTGTTAAAACAAAGCAGTTTGAAATCAAGGCTCCTGGGCCATCAAATTATGGCATGAACAGGCAACTGCTCCCTGCTTTTCTGTCCCTGATCTCTGAAACTAAAGCCAGGCTTAAAAGCTGAATTCCAGGATCAGGCTCCTCCCAGGCTGAGCAGCTTCTGGCTCAGGGACTTGCCCTGTTACGTTGGAGTTGTTTTAGGAATAATTTTGTAAAGCAGAAGAGCAAAACCCGACCAAGATTAAAACCTTTTCTGCCCATTTCCTGTGCCAGAACTGGATTTGTCAGGACCCCCCTTCCCAAAGGTGCTTCTGGGCTTTTATTTCTCAATTATGAGACACCACGGACTGAGAAACACAAAATTCTGGTTTGGGGTTGGGAGAGACCTTAAATCTCATCTTGTTCCACCTCCCTCCATGGGCAGGAGCAGCTGTTTAGTCACAGCTTGATCAGAGTTGAAGTGATTAAAGTTTTTAAGCCCGGTTTAATCACAGCTCTGTCCAGCCTGGCCTTTGGGACATTTCCAGATCCTGAATTCCTGTGCAGAAAATCTTTTTTTTTTTTTTTTTTCTCAAAAGTGCCCCTTAATTCTGAGGTCAGGCTTAAGCCTTCAGGCACTCAGGCATGCTCAGCTTTGTGATTTCCAGCTGCTCTGCCCTTTTCACAAAAATCCTCCCCGAGTTTTGGGTTTCTTTGTGCTTTGTTCCCCTCCTGCATTCCCTGGTTCTGGAGTTTCTGTTTCCTCAGCCCGGGGATTTGTGGAGCCCATCCCAGACTGCCAACCCCATCAGCTGGACCTGCCTTGTTGTGCATGATGATGATGATGATGGTGATGATGATGGTGATGATGATGATGATGATGATGATGATGATGATGATGCTCCTACATGGCACCTGCTTTCCTTGCACCCAGCCAGAAAATGCTGGTTCCTACTGAGCCTTCCTTGACGTTTGGTGATATTTAAGAGCAAAAAAAAATTAAAAAAAAATAAAAATGAAAATAAGCCTTTTATTAAATGCTGTGAGCAGTGGGGCTGAAGGGCAGGTGTCATTCTCTCAGCCTGCTCCAGAGAGGAACTGCCTTGCTCAGAGGAGAATTAATGTTAAAACCAGTTTTGCCTGTGTCCTGCTTTTTCAGTTTAGAGCCCAGTGGAGGTGATGCAGCTTTCAGGAGCTGTGTGACAGCATGCCTTGTGTTGTGCAGGGAGCAGAAGAGCTCAGTTTTGGATCTTTCTCTCCATAAAATTGAAAACTTGCAGAGTTTTATTTCAAATAGCAGGAGGGGGGTGAGGCTGAGCCCTGCTAAGTTCAGCACATTTTTTTTAATGTCGTTTTTTATTGGAAGGACAATTTGCTGCACGTTTTGATTGAATAAAAAGGGTGATTTGTCACACACAGCCAAGGGGATCCTGTTTGGGCACTGAACAAACCTGGAATGGCAAAATTTGGGGGGGTTTTGTGTCTGTTTTTGGGGGGAGGATTGTCCAGGTGTGTTTCTGCAGCACAAATTTTGGCCCCTTCCATTTTGTGGCAGCAGGAGGAACGTAAAGCATTTCAATAATTGGCCTTTTGGGTTATTTAATATGAAAGCATAAAGTGGTTTTATGGGTTTTGCCACTATAATTTTGCAAGGAAAAGGTGATTTTTTTTTTTTTTTAGAATATACTGAATATTAAAATCTAAAGGGATTCCCCTTCTGCTTCAGCACGTGGAATGGGAATTTTAACTCAGTGCTGGGAATCTCATTTCAGTGTTTTCAGTGCAATCTACACCTTCTGTCAGTAACTGGAATTTAGGTGTGTTTGAGACAAGACAAAAATGGGAAATATGACCAGAATTTGCCATGCCATGGACAAAAATTCTGTGATCTCTATGGATCTGTGTGACAGGAGCAAACTGTGAGCCAAAGCACCAAAATTTGGGGATGAGCAGATTATTGCTCCATGCTTTCCTGTCCCTTTGTGTGCACATTTCATACTGATCTCTGAAACTAAAGCCAGGCTTAAAACTTTGATTCCAGATGAAAAGGATCATATCCCTTTGGTCTTTTTTTTTTTTTTTTTTTTTTTTTTGCTGATGGTCTCAAGGAATTTTCTATATTTGCACTTGAGTTGTTACATTTGAATTTCCTGGTGCCACATGGGGACACAGCTGGCTCACATCTGGATTCCAGAATCCAGGGTCTGGACCTGCAGAGTGATTTATTTTATTTTTTTTTTTCTCCTTCCTCCCTTCACTGTTCATTTATAAACCATAGAATCATCCCACTTAAGGCCAGAAATGCTGATTAAAGGAGCCTAATTAATTGGGTGTTGTTTCTGCATCCAAAACTCCAGCCAGTTTAGACCTGTCACCTCAAAATTCATGCTGAGTTCTCCCCACTCACGAGTTCTGCCTCTCACAGACCACACTGGTGTGGGAACCCAGCAGGATTCCTTTTTTTGGAATATCTTAATCCTGGTCCTGAGCTTGTTAATGATCCCAGTGGCCTCAGGGAATCCCAGAGCTGTGACCAAACCCACGCTGAAAGGGAAGATTCTGCTCGTGCAGGGGGAGAGCAGAGCAGGAGAAAACCGAGATTTGCAGAGTTTGAGGTGCTGGAGCTCTGTGAGTTGTTGTGCCCTGTGCCAGTGAGCTCAGCTCAGACACATCTGGACGTGCCCAGAGGGTTTTGTGGCAGCAAATCCCAATTTAATCCTCATTTGGCAAACCACGAGTGGGGGAAATGATTCCCCACGTTCCACAGTCCTGCTCAGGCATCCTCAGGGACCAGCACTGGGATTTTTTTTTTATTATTTTTTATTTTTTTTTGGTTTGTTCTGCCCATTCCTTCCCCCCATCCACCCCAGTGTTTTACTGGCTGGAAAACCTGACCACACACGTTTGTTGCCAGGACCCTGCACCATTTATAACCACAACTTTCCCCACCATCCTGAGGTACTGTATTAATTTGGATTTTCAGTGAGGTTTGTTGGTTTTTTTTTGCCTACAGGAGTGATTTCTAGTCTTGTTTCCTTCTCCACAGGCTTGAAGACCATCGTGGGTGCCCTCATCCAGTCTGTGAAGAAGCTGTCAGACGTGATGATCCTGACAGTTTTCTGCCTCAGTGTCTTTGCCCTCATTGGGCTCCAGCTGTTCATGGGCAATTTGAGGAACAAATGTGTGATTTGGCCAATTAATGTCAACGAGACTTTCCTGGACAATGGCTCCAGGGGCTTTGACTGGGAGGAATACACCAACAATATGTGTAGGTATTTCTGCACTGAGCCTCCCTAAAAAACTCCTGGCCTGGCTCTGTGCAGCTGCCCTGGAGTTCCAGCGTGGCTCATGCTGGGCTGTGTCTGGTTTTCACTGTAAAAAACCCTGTATTTAGAAGTTTTTCGGTTTTTTTTTTTTTTAATCTGACCTTATTGAGATGTTCCTAGTTGAGTTCATCCTTTAGAAGAGTTTGAATGAGCTCTTTTAGCTAAGTAATTTGTCCAAAATTTATTTGAACTGATAAATTTCTCAGCAGTGCTTTTTGGGAGGGGCTTTTAATTGAGAGTTTTAATAATGTTATAGTCTGTTTAATCATCTAAATCCATATGTGTGTGAATGAAATCTCTTTTTCATCTTCAGCAAATTTTTACATCATTCCTGGTGCCCCTGACCCTTTGCTGTGTGGTAACAGCTCAGATGCAGGGTGAGTTTTTACCAATCACTTATCACTGATGTTACCTAAAGCTGGCAAAACCTTTGGAATATTCCCTGTCCCTTCCTCTGTTGGTTCTGCTGTTAATTCACCAAATTCCAGATTTTTTTAAAATCAAATTTTGAATCCATTGCTGTTGCAATGTAAGGAACATTTTCCCTGTCAGGAAGCAGCTCTGGAATGTTCCCTGTCCCTTCCTCTGTTGGTTCTGCTGTTAATTCACCAAATCCCAGATTTTTTAAAATCAAATTTTGAATCCACTGAACATTTTCCCTGCCATCTCTGGCTACCAATTGCTGGTGGCATCACTTCCCTCCAGTCTTGGGGATCATCCCAGAAGGGAGGATTGGAGGCTCAGAAATGGGAATTTGTTTTTCCACCCCAACCTTCAGCTCTGGAGACGATTCTGGCCCAAGCTGCTGCTTTGGGCTCAGGGTTAAGCTGTGCCTTGCAGCTCTTCCCTGAATCCCCAATGTGGGGAGAGCTGCAGGGTGCTGGCAGTGAGCTTGACCTGGCTCTTTTCCCTCCCCAGCCAATGTCCAGAGGGATACACGTGCATGAAGGCAGGAAGGAACCCCAACTATGGCTACACGAGCTTTGACACCTTCAGCTGGGCTTTCCTGGCTTTATTTCGCCTTATGACTCAGGACTTCTGGGAAAACTTGTATCAATTAGTGAGTAAACACTTGGCTTTGTTGTTTGTGGCACAATCTGGGGATCAAACAGGAAAATGGGAGGAGCTTTGGTTTATTCTTTCTTTAAAAGAGTGCAAGTAAAGCTGTTGGGGTTTGGGGTTTGTCCTGGATAAAATGCCCCATAAGGAGCAGCCTTTCCTTTCTTTTCAGGCAGATTTCAGCCACCAGGTACTGGGATGCAAAAAAAAATGCCTGGAGTCCAGGCTGTCAGCTTTTATTGTCATTTCAGCAAAGTGCCTTGACACAGCGAGATTTTTTTTTTTTTTTTTTTTTTGGGGGGTGAGGAAGGGGACGTTACCTGGCAGCAGGTGTTGGGTTTGAATTCCAGAAGGGCTGGTGGCTGCAGCTGAGCTGTGAATTCATTCAGCAGGAGCCTTAGCACTGGCTGTGGGTGCTCAGCTCTGCTCACAGAGGCTGCTCAGCTCTTGGGAGGGCACAATTTTCTCATGACCTCAGGGGTGCTTTGGGGACCTCGCTGAAGCAGCTTTTTCTTGGTTTGGTTTTAGGGGAGTCCGAGCATTGGGTTTCACCCTGTGCCTCTGAATTCTTTTCAGTTTGCATCCCTTAAAGGGAGGAAGGGGGATGTCACCTTTTGTGTTCATGGCTGAGCAGCGTGCAGTGGCTCAGCAGGGAAAATGCTGAGCTGGGGAATATTCAGCACTGCTGGATTTTCTTAGAAACATTCAGGTCAAGAAACTCGGGGTCACCTCGTGCATTTCTGAAGTTGCTTCCCTTTCCCTTTTCTAATCCCTCTGTCGTTGTTCTCCACTCCCAGACTTTACGAGCAGCAGGAAAAACTTACATGATCTTCTTTGTGCTGGTGATCTTTGTGGGCTCCTTCTACCTGGTGAACCTGATCCTGGCTGTGGTGGCCATGGCCTACGAGGAGCAGAACCAGGCAACCCTGGAGGAGGCAGAGCAGAAAGAGGCAGAATTCAAAGCCATGTTGGAACAATTGAAAAAGCAACAGGAAGAAGCACAGGTGAGAAAAAAAAAAAAAAAAAAAAAAAAAAAAAAAAGAAATTCCTCGCTCGCTGTGAGGGCGGTGACCCAGGTTGCCAGAAAAGCTGATTTTACCACCTGCACAGGTAGGTTATAAAAATTCGAACAAATTCTGGCTGCAAATTTCTTCCAAGGAGAGAATAAACTTCTGAGTCCTGCCTTGAAATCTTCTACTGAGGTGCATTAAGGGTGCATGAAAAGGGAAGGTGCATGAAAGGGAAGATTCTGCTCCTGCAAGGGAAGGGAAGTGCTGAGACAATTTAGTTGAGCAGGAGAAAGCCAAGATGTGGAGAATTAAAAGTGTTTGACCCTTTAAGGGTCAAAACCAAGGAAATGGAACTTACTCTGTAAGTAAGAAAGAGTAAACTCCTCCTTTAAGGAAACGAAAAATGAAAACGGAGCGTTAATCGTGGAAAAATGTGATTTATTTTTCCTTGCCCTGCCTGCACCCTCAGGCTGCTGCCATGGTCACCTCGGCAGGGACGGTGTCTGAAGATGCTGTGGAGGATGATGGTGGGGGGAGGATGTCCAGGAGCTCCTCAGAGATTTCCAAACTCAGCTCCAAGAGCGCCAAGGAGCGTCGGAACAGGAGGAAAAAGAGGAAGGACAAGGAGCTGTCGGAGGGGGATGAGAAGTGTGACAATGAGAAGGTGTTCAAGTCAGAATCTGAGGATGGCATGAGGAGGAAAGCATTCAGGCTGCCAGATAACAGGCTGGGGAGGAAATTCTCCATCATGAACCAGGTAGTTTTCTGTTCCTTCACTCGTGTTTGTGGCTGCTTGAGGTCAGGAGAATTTTCTGCTCTCGGTTCCTGTTGGTACCTCAAGGGTTCTGCCCACTCTCCTCAGCTGTGTTGGGGCAGGAGAACATTTAGGGTTT